GACAAGTGGAGGCGCTGTCGGCGGAGCTTGACGCGCAGTGCGAGGTCTCCCGCCGGCTCGAGGAGGAGGTGGAGGAGGGGAGGCGGTGCGAGGGCCCCGCCGTGGCGCGGCTGCCAGCGTTGTGGTCAGAGGCACCAACATTCACACTCATCGGTAGGTGCGAGGGCGCCGCCGTGGCGCGGCTGCGGGCGAGGCTCAGCCGGGCCGAGGAGGAGGCGGCGGCAGAGAGAAGGCGCCTTCTGGCGCAGCTCGACCGGCAGAAGAAGGAAGCCACGCATGCACGGGCGTGGAATCGTCGATGGGGCTCAAGGATGGAGCGTGTCGCTCCTTGGTTTAATCATAGGAGATCACGCTGCTCGGCTCCGAACTTGGCCGCGCGCGGCGCGAGGCGGACAGGTACCGCCGCAAGCTGCAGCAGGCGGAGGGTGTAGTGGTGAGTCATCAGGGGGAGTCATTGATCTCAGGCCGACGGTGTAGCGCGCGTGGGAATGCGTGGAGTCATTCAGTGTGGGCATTCCGTACCAGGCGGATGGGCAGGCCAAAACGGCGCACCGCCGGTCGGCGGCGGCCACGCGGCCAGCAGCCAGTCGCGAGGTGTCGAGGGCGGCCAGTCGCGAGGTGTCGAGGGCGGCCAGTCGCGAGGTGTCGAGGGCGGCCAGTCGCGAGGTGTCGAGGGCGGCCAGTCGCGAGGTGTCGAGGGCGGGAAGCGTCGGCAGCAACTCGGCAGGCCCGAGCCGCGAGGTCTCGAGGCTTTCGTCCCGTGCCGCCTCCCGGCCTCCGTCGTGCTACCCGTCGGGCTACCCCTCTCCTCGTCTGGCCACCCCTCCCGCCCCGCCCCCCCTCGGTCACAACGACTCACTAAAGACTAGGCGCGAGACCTCGACGACTCGCGCCGTCTCTACGGCACACGAGGAGCCGCCTCAGAACCGATGATAGGCTACCCTTCGTCGGACGCGTCGTCGCGCGCCTCCTCTGTCGAGCGAGGCCGCCCACGCCGCCCTCCGTGGAACGCCGGCGCGATCTCCCCAGATCTCCCCATATCTCCCCATACCTCCCCATATCTCCCCATATCTCCCCATATCTCCCCATATCTCCGCGCCTCGGGGTGGAGGTGCTTGGTCGGCTCCCACGTGTCCTGCCAGTGCGGCAGCGACTGCCGCTTGACTAGCAGCCAGCGGTGCGGCCCCTGTGGGGGGGAGGGGGGGGGGA